TGTTAAGCAAACGTCAGCCGTCACTTTCCCCATGATTTGAGCTTGATTTTTCAATTTTATTCGAACTGAACGTATCAATTCTACGAAATAATTTGCATTTATCAACGTTTTTCATCCCGACTCGTCAATTATTTAACGTAGGGATATTAGTTTTACCTTGAAAGAATGAAAAACAACATGAAATGTTTATTGGTTTTTATCCAACGAAAGACTTTAAGAATATTTCAAATTCGTCAACTGACAATGTCTGTTCATCTGAAAGTTTCGGCGCGCGCGAGTGAAGGTCCTCTGGTCCTTCTCACTGCTGGTTTGCTTGTACAAATCTTCATTGCATATTTGCTTGGACATTTCGTTGAAATAACCGTAAGTTGATTTTTCATTCATTCGAAATTTAATTGTATCCAATCTATTTTCTCCGATTTTCTCACTCATTTTTTTAGCATGATCGAATCTATTATGCGGCATTGAATTTGAAATGGAACGAAATGCCGTTAAATCAAAAACATTTGTATAAGCTTTTTCTACATAGTTGTCAGAATCCAAGTTTACTTACCATCGGCGGCGTATTACCACTTAATTTGGACACTTGCGTCAGAGTAAGAGTTGATTGATAACAACAATTTTTTTTTACCGTCGATTAATACATGTATTTTTATGCCGCAGATTTACTCGGGAATTTATAATACCAGCATGCTGATTTACACAATGTTAGTCAAATGAATGAACATACGTGGAGGATATATACATATATTCAAATTGCTATCGATGCAGATTCCAGGGTTGGGATACTATATGCTCAATGCTCATATCACGTTGCGGCATGTGACACTTTTATTCTCGTGGCTTATCAAAATAGAATATTTTCTTCACCTTGATAATTTTTTACACCCCAAGAATTTGATCAGTTATCATGAGGTTCTTTTCGCTTTGCTTTCAAATATTTTGTGTAATGAAAATTATTGTCCACTGAAAATACCACTGATATGTTAGAAAAGCCAATACGAGTGGAAATGACTTTGCTTCATATAAGCAATTCATCATCGCACAATTTTGCTTCTTTTTACTGAATTTATAACAAATAATTGTAGCACGTCTGAGTACTACTGAAATAATTGATCATCACCAAAATCTGAATGGAACTCTGGAAAAGCGTATCTCTATTTTGTTATAGACACTAACGAATTGGTCACCAGCGATCGAGCTAAAATATTTGGCATTGAAAGCCGCAAGTGTAGGTTCGATCCGGAGACTACTGCAGACCGAAGCTATCCATTGGGACAGTATACACAAAATCTGTGTTTGATGGAATGCACCGTCGATGCAGCCATCAATCTTTGCGAATGTCGACCATTCTTCTACAAAATTGGTGTGTGTTCTTGCCTCTACCCACTTAAACACTTCACACTATTTTATAGTTTGAAGTGAGTAGAGGCAAGAACATTCACCAATTAACGTGGTTTATTACAGGTCCTGGGCCAATTTGCAACGTCACTGGAATGTAAGAAAAATCATATTTATTGTTAATCAAATGAAGATTTAACACGTTTTTACATTATCCTAGGATTTGCTTATCAAAAATCCGTAGGAAGGAGGCTCGCAACAACTGTTCTTGTTTGCCGCAATGCAATTCAATCGATTATTCATTTACGCGGACTTTTCTTCAGTCTCGCGAAACCTTCATCTACAGCGTTTCCCAAATTTCAAGAACAAGGCTCAAACGAGATATCAAATTTGGCATTCATTAATTGGTTGGTGCGTTCTGATTTATTTGAATTACTACATTAATACTACTAAATACCTTTCATACATTTCTGATCCATCTTTTTAATATCCGAATATTTGTCTATTTCCCCAAATTAAAGTGTCGCTCGGTGGTTCTGCGGCGTCATTTCTTGGATGCAGTTTTATAAGCATAATTGAACCCATTTACTTTGCCATGAAACATTTTCTTCGTGACAAATTTGGGAACTCAATTCAAGGCAGGAATACTAGTTGTCTCACGCGATATAATACGATGGTCAGTAATATATCAGATGTATTCGCACGTCGATTCAATTAATTTGTGAAGAATAGTGGCTTGCATGGCATCCGATATTTGGATCGTCGATATGGACTGATTTATCGGTAAGAAAATTCTGTGCTTTTGTTTTGAAATATTATTATTGAACGATGCTCGATGGGTTGTCTACAAGAAGTAATATGGTTTTATAATTCAACCCAATTTTGGTCATGCGTTCTGATCGCTTCGCTTATTTCAATGATTGTCGTCTCTGTGTATACGTTAAACAACTACTTGGCCAGTCCAGTTGTTATCAAAGTTGACACAATTATTCCAAGCAAGAACATAGCATTTCCGGCCGTGTCTGTTTGCATTAAGAAATATAACAATAACAATGCAAGCATCAAAAGAGTTAAGCAATTTGTTAAAAAGTATTATGCAGAACATAACATTGATTCATGGAACAGAAAATTTTCTTGGGCTATTTCCATTTTCAGTGAAAACTTCTATGATCAAATTATGGCCTATGCTTATGCATATTATAGTTTTTAATGTGTACGTTGCCACGCACCGAGTATCAAAAGAATTGAATGTGTGTAAGGATGCAATGAACAGCACTTGTGGTGTGGATATCGAGACTATAAAGTAAATGGTTTTCATTTATTCGATCATCTCAATTCGTTTGATTCTCTTCATCCTTGATTTTGTTGCAGCTATTCCCGTATTGTAATGAATTGTTCAGCAACATCCAATTCAACAGCCGACGCTACGACAACTTATTCGCACATTTCTTTGTGCATTCTAAGAATGTTACGGAATCGAACTGTGAGGAAAAGCTAGAGAAAAAGTTCTGCGCATTTTTCCTCCAAATCAATATAGATCTTATGCATTTCAAGCGATATCAATTTGGCGAACATCAGCGAACTGATAATTATAACGGCCAGAAAGAAATCGGTAGCTGCTATTCCAAAAGATGCTAGTAGAATCATTGCCACATGATAAACCGTGCTGATAATAAAGCCAACAACGGTTGTTTCATCGATGCCAGGAGAGTGGCATTATTGGAACAACTCCGTTTTGAGTGAAATACATGAACACAAAGCATGTTGACAGAGTCGAAATATAGAAGAACAGAAGGATTTTGAAGAAATGGTCGGTGAACAGAGCGAATTTCCGAAAATATTCCGAGCGTTCAAAAGATTCAGTTGTGATGTGCTCCTTATAGAGATCTTGAATGAATTTTATAACCCACTGGATATCGTCGACATATTGAATGTTGTACCTACAGTTTCACGAGCCTCTGCGAAAATTCATAAAATTTTATACTCTTCTATCAAAGATTAAATTTCCCGACGTTTTTTATGGTTTTTTTGACAAGCAATTCATCGTTTGGTAGAAGTTAGTTTGAATATTGGACGTTTCAAGGATAAAACACACATACCTGAACTGTAAATAATGAAATATGCAAGCCAAAAACCCTCACAAAAATGACGTCGTAGCATAGTTATCAAAGTAATCATTTCGGATACTACAAGTACAACAACTGCAGCGCAAATCGAGTAACTTATTGCGTTTTGCTTTAATTTATCAGCGAACACATCGTGGCCGATTAACTGAAACAACGAGCGCTCCCACTCAAAAATGCACTTATTAAAACGGTTGTATGCTTCCATTGTGTCTATTCCCGTGAGGTTTTGAAAATTACGTTTATACACGTCTACGGTTTAGTCGGAACTGAACGAATTGCAGCGAAATAAACTTTTGGAAATGGGATATTAGTATTGATTATTCAGGATCAATGCAACAACGCTTCAAGGTTCGAAGGTTGAAACATTTAAACTGTTTATGTAAACAAACATTCAAATCAAAACGCTGAGATAATGCACTCGCGGTGGACAACCTGCACGCTTGTTATTTAAAATCCAATGTTGAAATGTAACAAAGCTTCAATGCTAAAATGTGAATGTAGTGGATCGAAAAAAAAGCTTACGTGTCTTCCACTTTTCTTTTTGCCCGTTGCCCACTTTTGAAGTTTTTCCATCATCAATCATTTTTAATCTTAGGACAATTTTTTTATTCAGGAACTCCTTTTCGACCAAATTATCAATTTTTTTTAAAGAATTTCAGTCAAAAATATCATCAATATACAGAAACGCATACAATAATTTCATCATATCATATGGATAGAATACGCTAAGTCAAAGTATTCTATCCGTATGCTTTGCATGCGCTAAAAATATGCCTTATATTACCTTCGACTCTGTATTAAACTATGTATAAAATAAGAGTAATCGTAAATATGGTATAAACGCAGCGTGCACAGGGAATACACGCGGTATATTATTGGGAAGCAATTGCAATTAGCTTCAAATTGCGGTATTTATCATCACAATAGCCCCAACCAGTACTGAGATTGGCACAAAAATCAGTTGACAAAAAGTACTCATCAAAAGCTGACTCGATTTCGCCTGACCGATTTTTCATATATGATCTTGTTGTGACTATGAAATAATTCCAATCAATGTGGTGTTATCTGCAACGAACCCACCTAAAATGAAGAACGATTAAAATTTCACTTTTTTCAATATGAATTCAATGGATTCTGATCGTTCTAATGGACAAAAAAAGCAAAGAAGAATCAATTTTGCACCAGAATCACCAAAACAAGTCCCAATTCCAACCGAATTCCTTGTGCACAGCTTCATTTCGTCAATATTTGCAGTGGCTATAATCCATTGATTGATATCAGTCCATTATAAGCGTTCAAAGCTTTTCAAACATTCATCCTCTGTTATTGTGATTAGTTCTTTGAAGTGGAGCATTGAGGGGAGCTTTATATCCGCTGGCGACGGAATTTTATTCTTTTCCAGTACCTTTGAACAAAGAGATTAGCGCATTTTTTAAATAATTTTTCTTGTAAATTCTTCAAAGCTCTCCCAAGCGCGACTCCACACTTAGCTTCTAAATGTGACACCGTAGTAA